CAAAGGAGAAAAATTGATTATTTTCAAGGTATCTAAATGAGAAACTCTTGAGAGCAGAAAAGGGATTCCTCTTGCCCTACAGCAATCTTTATAACCTACAAAAATCTGCCTTAGTCACTGCAGCATGGCTGCTTTTTTCATTTTGTTTCATTGGCTCTCATGAAGATTACTGATTGCAGACTGGGGGTGAAACAGAAAAGCCAGAGGAAGAATATTTTTCTAATAAAGCAGAACCACAAGTTTTATCTTGACTTATGTGGTCCAGCTGTCCCAGGGCAAGCTGAAAGATGATCACTTTCATTAAAAAAAAAATCGCTCTGGCTGCACAAAGCAAGCATCTTGGCTGCCTCGGAGACCTCTCCAGATAACAGCGCAGAAGTAATTTATCACAGAAAGAGAACCAGAGCTGCGTTCACAATCATGAGGAGATCAGATAAAGAGTCCTCCTTGTTCTCCTGTGTTGGTCAGCAGTTTCTTCTCATGAAATTGTTCCAGAATCTGTTCCCTTGGCCATCTACTTTTAAACGCTCATTAGAGGGGAACAGGGTGCAGCACACAGGGATTATTTGCACCTGCAGCCTCCACAGCAGCACTGCCTGGCATTGCAGGTCCCACAGTGCAGCTGCTGGGTCCCCCACTCATAGCAGCAGCTGCCCTCCTGTTTCCTTGGGTAGCTGTTGCTACCTGATGAACAGATCAAGCTCCCTGATCCCACAGCTGTACATCCTGGTGACCGTAGGAAGGGAAAGACCTTTTGCTCACTTGGCTACAGACAGAGGGAGGAAGCACAAGACAGCCAGTAACTTGTATCAACAGATCCAGACAATAGGAACAGAGCTCTGTGCCAGCATCGGCAGGCGGTTAAGATCCTGGTTTGGGGAAGGAATCCCATTCACACCCTCTGAAGAAGACCTCTGCCATTCTTACCAGGCTACAGTGCACATTTCTAAAGATGAACATTTGCAACAAGTCAGAAGCAAAGGAAGCTGCCAAGAGCAACAGCTGAGTAGTTCCTGGGAAAAGTAACCATGTGGAAACAGGAAGGCAGTGGTGGGCAAAATCACATCAGAGAGCAAAGCTTCAGCAGTGCTCCATGGCTGAAGAGCTTGGTATGGGCAGCTCATTTCAGGAGGAGCGACACAGCAGATCCTGGTGTCGGGGGCAAGTGATGGCAATGGCTGGCCACCAAACCCACCAGCCACCTGGCAGGATACTCACCAGACCACAGGATGGAGGAGGCATGGGTTGTGGAGAAGGGAGTAATTACCTTTGCTGAGCCTTAAACAGCATAAGGACATGAAACAGAGATGTTGGCAGTGGAGAAATGTAAAGTGCTTTAAGAAAGGCTTGTCAACATTGAAGTTAAGCTGGCAGGAAACCCAAGAACAGTGTGCAAAAGCAACCTTGGCAACCAGCCCTCAGAGAAAAGCATATCCTTACCTCGGGCACCTCACACGGCCTGTCCTTGCTACCCAAAGACAAATGAAGCTTGAGAACACTACACAAACTAGGAAGATGAACCTTCCTGTACTTCTTTGCTCCACAGGTTCAGCTACACTTTCTGCTTATTTCCAAAGCATGAACTGGTAACCCTGCCCAATTCGTGATTTCAAAATTAATTTATTTGTATTGAAACATTTAAAAGCATGAATATTTCAAGACAGTTGTATTTAAATATTTAAATAATTTTGTCAATGAAGACAAACCCAGTACTCTTAACAATTAATGATCTCTTTTTTATGCTTACTTTGGAAATTATGAAGTGGAAATGTGGATTGCCTCACTCCCTGGAGTGCCAAACTGAGGAATGGCTGTGGTACTGCTTGAGCAGCCTGACCATAAGGAATGCTCTGGTGATACAAGGTCACCTGAACTCAAGAGGCCCAACACATGGCCTTTTGAAGAGTCATAAAGGGCATCAGCTCGTCACTGACTACCAGATCAGAAAGTCAGTGAAAACTGAAAGAATCACACCACCACTCCAAACTTGGCACATTGTATTTCATGCTGAAAGCAGCAATATTAGCATCCAGATACTTCAGATGCTGAACCTGAACTGCTGTCAACCAGATAAGCAACCAGATACGGGTTTATGGGTTCATATTTATCTCCATATAAAAGTAAATATACCCGCACCCCCATACAGGTGTATGGGTAGCATGGTTGCATGTTCAGCAGTGGCATGCATGACAGGACCAGGATTATTTTCCCTTGCTCACTGCCCCTTTAACAGAACATGCTCTAAGCTGAACTGAGATCTTCATTCTAAAACAGCGGCAAAATTTCCAGCCTCATCACCGCCTGAAGACTAAACGAGATTATCCTAACAGATACTGTTACAGAAACATGCAGAGGATGTACAGCATCTTGAATACCTTTTATTTTGTGCCTCAGGAGAGCAGGTCATATTCCACAGCACATCATAAGAGAGACAACATACAAGTCTAGTGCTGTCCAGCGACTGGAAGGCAACAGGTTTTGGACCATGTACATACCACAAAACCTCTGCTGCACATTCTTTGAGTTGTGACAAAAGTGCAGGAAAATTTAAGTACCTATTTATTAGCAAGTAAAATGAGTTTTGACTTTATGGAAATAACATATTTAAATTATTATTTATTCAGTGGGAGAAAAAAATCCTAGGCTGTATCATAGCACCTCTTTACCTTATAGACTCTTAATGGGCTACACAGCTACTACACTGCAAGCTGCACAGGCTCACATCTCCTATTCTCAGTTTTTTTTTTTAAACTAAAAGAAACATCCCACAACCGGAATACAGAGTCTCTGAAAACAAATTCTAATTTCTGGCAACCTTGTACCTGGTGCAGCCCAAACTTCCCATAAAAAGCCAAAGTACAGACGAAACAAGAGGTGACAAAAGTCTTCCTAAAAGGAAGACTTTTCTTTTTTCAGAAGAAAACTCTGAATACTTGGTTTGTGTGTGCTCTAAATTTTCAAATACAAAAGCTATGTTACAGAGTATCTATGTGCCCTCATACAAAAATTATCTAACAAGAGCTTATAGTAATTTCTGATTATCCCGAGTATGTGTGTGGGAGGACAGAGAACAGAAATGGGGAGAAAGATGACAAGCATGATTAAAACAAGTTTCCTGATAAATGAAATCCCTGCTTCAGAGCAATTTGGAACACTAAAGCACTAGCCTATCTACAGACAGTATATCCCGAGTTCTGAGGAGTCCTAAAAGCAATTCAGCGTTTGCAGCTTCTGTCCTAGACAGTATATGTTGTCTGTTCTTTACATTATTCAATTTATTGAATTAAACTGAAAGCTGAAGGAGTGGAAGAGAAATACACAGGCAGCATACATCCTCTGTGATATATTAAAATATGAGATTTTGCAGTTCTGTTTACCTGAAAGGAAAAGCTATAGCCACAAGATAAATGGTATACTTGAAATTAGTTATAGCAAGGCCTGTATATAGACTACTGAAAGTGTTCTCATTTCTTCAGGAAGCTCTTTCTGAATAAAAAGTATTTCTGATAAGCATAACACAGGTAAAATAAAAATGAACATAAACAGTGATGACAGGGATAATGCAAGGGACATCTGCAGAAAATGAAACATTGTTCACTGTTTCACAGGCACAGATAGACATAAAAATTCCCCATCAATTTTTTAACAACTGTATCTTAAATATCAACTTCTTGGCTACTACATTTATCAGAACTGACACAAATTAAACAAAAAAAAAGAGACAGAAGAAAAAAATCCCATATTGACAGAAGTACCCAAAGAGGTTGCAAATGTGTTGTTACACAGCAGCCTCACTGGATATGCATAAAAGTTTGCAGAAGGCAAAAGAGAACACGCTAGCTGTGCGTGACTGCTGAAACCAGAGCTCTGGGACACAGCGGAGCTGTGTGGACAACTGGTGCCCTCTCCTGGATATCCTTGTTTTGCCAATTCAGAGCACAGCCACTGAAACGGCATTTTCTACCCATTCCTCAATGCACAGGCATTTGCTACTCCTTAAACTATTTCCTTTGAAAAATCAAAGACACAGGTCAATCTGGTTTGGATGGAAGAGAGAAAGTTAAAACATTTCCCAGAGAAGTACCTGGCTGTTTCAACTCTTTTAAAATTTCTGACACAGCAGGGTGTTACATCACAACATTGTTTATTATGTGACTTTTTACAATACAAACAAAAATACAGAAATGCAGTATATGAATACAGCTAAATGCGAAATGGTGATGTTTTTCTCGAGGCCATATTCCCATTTCTAGTAAAATAAAGAAAGACTGCACACAGGTAGAAACAGGTTGGTAGTTAACTCCACAATTTTGCCTAGAAATGACCTATAAATGTGTTTTCCTGCTACTTACCATAAAATGTAAAAAGGGAGTTAAAGGAAAGTTTTACTCACTGGTTCCTACCATATGAAAGAAGCTATACTCTATTTAGGAGGGCCAATATATGGAAAAATATCTAAATTAAATGTCATTACAAAAAATGAAGCAGTAATGAGATCCTTCTGGCTAAAGAAGTTACTAAATGAGAATAGCATATATTTAAAGAATCCAAAACATAAAAGGGTTGTTATAAAAAGCTTAGGTGCACTGTAAGCCTACAACTTTTGTTTTTCCATGTGTACTTTTAAACAATGGAAGTGTCAAAAATAGGGTCAACTGTGTTAGACTAAATTACATTATTGTATATGCTGCACTGAATGGAATTCTTGTATTACAATAATAGAGAAGCATCGTTTGCATCATATTATGGCAATTTATCCTTGCTAAAAACCGTCTAGAGTCCTTGCATTTTTTAATATCCTGTAAACCGTCAAACCACCAGAACATGATTGTACAACAGTAAAATGTTTTCTTCTGCATTAAAGTGACATCTGTTTAAAAAAACGAGGGAAAAAAAAAGGTACTTAGAGCTGTTATTTTTCCAAGTACACAACACCCTAGACAATTCAAGGCATCTCATTCTCCATCAAAATTAACAAAAATTTGTCATGCTGTTAAATCCATTACTATGGATACAACTGGTGCAAAATTGGTCAAACGGATCCAACAAACACTGATGTCCAGGCTGGCATATTGGCAACTAATACATAACTGGTGGTCAAAATGATGCATTTAAAATATCTTCCCTTTCTTCTTATTCTTTTCCAAGGTTCTAAAATGATATTGAAAAAAAAAGTTTGTTAAACAATACATACATACTCTGATTTAAAAAAAGTAATATATCACTAATGTATACCTTTTAAAACATGCATATTATAAAGCTTTACTGGTTGTAATATAATAATACAATGTATGAAATAAGTTTGTATGAGTACTTCTACTACATGAAGTCAGGCAACACATTTATCATCAGACTTCCCCTTCCAAGGACTAGGAGAATTAAACACTTTGATTCTGAAAGCTTTAACTCTTCATCCCTCAGAAGTCTGATGCAATCTAGCTTTCAAATACAAACAATTTTTTTAGATAGATCTAGTTATGCATGGATATGATGTGTTTGCAGATGAAAATCTGCTTTAGAAGCTAATAATCTTCCCTGTATTTCTGATATTTGCTCACTTTTAACTAAAAGCAGTTCAAGATTTTTCTTCGCTATTTTAAGTGATGCTTCCTTAGTGGTCTACCACCACTGACCATTATGACCACAGAAATTGCCTTTTAGCAGAAAGCTACAGAATATTCACTGTGAACTGCAGGACAAGACTCCAATTTACCTGGAAGAATTCTGTTGTTCCAAAATACGTTGTTGAGCTTCCCAGTTTGCTTTCTCATCCTCAAACTGGCGACGCTTTTCCTCCAATTCTTTGTGTTGTGCCTCCAAATTCTTTTTCATTTGCTCATGGCGTCGCTGCAGCTATAGGAAAAGTTATGAACAGAGTCAGTAAGCGCACAAAACACAACAAATTTTGGAGCTGTAGCAATAAACATCAACTGTATTAACACAAGGAAATACTGTATTGTAATTTCTCTTCAGAGAAGGTTACTTTTAGACCAAAACCTCAGTAACAGAAACAAAAAGGCTATTAATCCCATAGCCTTATTCTTAAAGTTAACAGAAAAGACTCCAAATGCTGCCTGAGTTACAAACAGGAGTTGTAAGCAGCTACATGTGGCAAACAAAAGGAAATTCAAGAATATATTGGTATTTGACACAAATTTTAAGAAGCAAATTGCAGAGCATTTGACTGTCGCTAATGCATAAATAGCAGCATTTTTGACTTTGTGTCGGAAAAATACCCAAACATTGATTTAACCCTACAGTATTAACTATATTAAGGATCTATTTGGGAAAAAAAGATTATTAAGTGGATTACTTTATTCACTAATTAAATGAATTCTTGTTAGTATTATTGAAGGAAACTGTCTACACTGTCAGAACAGTATAAGAAGTCTCTCCTGCAAGGTGATGGGACAGACTGACAATCAAATGTGTCGTATGTGAGAGCAGAGACAGTGTCAGATAAAAGTTATTGCTTTTGTGTGGTGTAACATGTTTTTGAATTGAGAAAGAAAAATCCCTCTTTTTCTTACTTTCTTGCAAGTCCCTGTCTTACACAAACCCTTCAAAACATATTTTCTTTTACAGGGTTTTTAAATGCTTCATACTCAGCACCGTCTACTGCCTACTTTTCTGCAGTTAGACTGACTGGAGTATCTTGGCATGTATATCTTCATTTGTTTCTCAGAAAAAAAAAATTAGATGGATGTGTCTTTTCCCCTGATCCAGTATGCCTTGGCTCCTTACAGTGCTGAGGCTGCCAAGCATTTCAACCACCCTTCCAGGTTTCCTCACTTCCCCTCAAATTTGGAGCCAAACTTTCTTTAGGAACTTCCAACAGTTTTGAACTTCTCTATTAAGCTTCTTGTGAGAATTTGCCTTCCCAAAACTTAATTTTCTACTTAAATGTAATTTCATAATAGTCTCTCAAAAAGATCACTTCAAGAGCTGCTTGAAGCCCATAAAAAGTTTCACTGTGAGGACTTCACACAGAGATGACAGAATTTGGTAACAGTGTTAAGTATCCATAAAATTTATGTGTGCTCAAACAACACCAAAACACTGACAACAACATATCCCTGACTCGTTCGTAGCCTAGTAATTCACATAGAGAGGACTTCTTATAGACACAGTATCAAATTCCTGAAATCTTTTTTTTAATATGCAAAACAAACTATCATTACTACATTAGCTTATGTAAACCATAAAAGTCTCAAGAACTTTTTAAAGCACATGGAAGAAAACAGGCATAAAATATTCCAAAGAGGACGGAGAAAAAGAGTAAGAAATTTAAAGATTATTTTAACATACTGTGACTGAAAATAAAATGAGAATGCCCATGAACATTTCAATTCTATTTTATGTTTGGATTTATACTGTTTCTGCAAAGACAACAAGCTGAGAAAGAACAGCTGGGTTGTCTTTAAACATAAAATCTGACTGTGGAATCAGTTCCTAGACAGAGGTTGTTGCAATGTCTTGGCAAAAGCAGTTCTCTCTACACTTGTTCAGTCTCAAGCATAGTGGGGTTTAAGACATTTCAATTACCTCAGCTTCAGAGTCCTTCAGTTTCTGAACTTTTTCTTTGACTTTCATGTCAAACACCTGTTCCATCTCCATTTCCATCTTTTTCATTTTGGCTACATGCTCCCTCCTCTCCTCCTCCATCTGTGCCAGCGGGCTCCTGCCATAAATCCAGAAGAAGTAGTTAGCCAATAAGAACGTTTTTCCCTGTCAGTTACATTAGGGCTTCTGTAAAAAACCAAGACAAAAATGCTGAAGCATTAAGATAAATAACATCACCATGCGCACTGCTAGCTTAAATTCAATCTGTATATTATATTAACTCTTAAGCTTTCCTCAAAAAGACATTTCATACAAAATCTTTTCCTCCACTACAACTGATTAACATTACATTTAGATTAAGAGAAACTCTTGACTTGCTACCTTTAGTAGAACCTGGTCATGAGAAGACAGGAAATTAAAGTTACAACCAAAATAATTAGCATTTTCGAAGTGATCTTCAGGTGTCTTTTTCCTTCCCACTCAAATATATATAAAAATGAACGGACATAGCAAAAATCTGAAGAGTGCTGCAGATAAAAGTCCCATTTCCTCTCAGTCTTCACTGTTCAAAGTGAGCCCAAGAGAAAGTAAACATTACAACTATGTTGAATGCTGTGGTCATGCTTTAGAACAGATAGCAACTTTGCAAAAAAAGTTCAGACAACTGAACATCTGTAGTTCAAGGCAGTGTTAGTTGGAAGACTTTCCTATAGAAAGCTAAACTTAACGTATAAAAATCATGTACATTATTTTTAGTTTTCCTATACACTTTTCGGTAACTATTTTCCTGGACTCTACTCAGTTTTTAAAGCTATGTGAGCTTGCTATCCCGTTATGGTAATACAGGTCATAAATAGCAAGCTTCACATTACATATCCAATTAAAAAAGAATTATTTTGACCTAGTGATGATTGCTACATGCAGTCTCATAAGACTTTTCTGCTGTTCAACAAAGAGCAATCAAAGCAAATCACTGGCCTCTTGTTTCAGTTTTGAGTATAGTCAGATTAAGAGGAATGACAAAGTTTTAACTATTGTGTTGATAAAAATTAAGAACTGAATATATCTTAAACTGTTAAAATCAACTAGCAGAGGAGATCTACTATAATGTAGGCAAAAGTCACTCAGACCAGCAAATTGTAAAATAGAGGTGGCACACCTAAGCCCTGTAAAAATTAAATTTTGATTTCTTAAAAAAACATCAAACAACAAAACCCCCCTGTTCTGATTCTGATCATGAAGAAAGAGCATTCTAAAAGGAGAAGTGACTAATTTTCAGTGATAACTGAAACACAATTAGCAACGTTGATTTTGACTCAGAATTTGCCACTCCTTTTTAAAGGAAAGACGTTATCTATCAAACATAGTTAAGAACTGGTTTGACATTTAATTGCTCATTTTATCCTTCCTGCTTGCCCATTTTCACCAACTAACCACACAGTGAATGTAATCAATGCCATATGAACTCAAGGCTGTATGAACCTTATCCTCAAATATTAGTATTTTAGAAGTGACAATTGGTGGGGTGTGAGGAGAAAGTAAATGGCATTTAAAAAAAAAATTAAAGTGAATCTGAACTAATAGTTGCAAAGCTTGGATTGGTGAATAAAATGCTGTATAATATATGGAACAGAAACTGATCCTCAGTCTAACGTTTACTTCAGCCCTTCAAAAGGCCAACTGCTAGCAGCTTTTGTAAGGAATAAAAAATGGTTAAACACAGGTAAAGTACAATAATACACAAAAATAAGAGGAAAATGAAAGAAGTGAGTAGCAGTACTTGTGGAAGCTAACCAGCTGTCAAAATAAAACTATTTTCTTGTTACCCTTTAGAAACGTAAAGTTCTCAAATGTATCTGCTCTTCAAAAATTAACCTAGGAAGTAGGTCTGAATATTGAGGAATCATTGCTGCAGTTTCTAGAGACTTAACAGGAACAGAACTGCTCTGCTATTGACAACCTGATAATCTAATGGGGATGTCATGCGAGCTGTATTTGAGAAAGTGGTAAAAATCAGCCTGCACAGAAAATTTGATAAACTACCAAGCAAGTATTTACATCTGAGAGCTTTACAACATATGTCACAACTGGCTTTGTTAGGTGAGTAAAAGCACATAATCCTGTATTTCAGGATAAAACCATACAATGGACTTAAATAAAAAAAACAGCTGAAGAAAAAAAAAATAAAACCACTAAAAGATGTAAAACTTTTCACTTATTTAACAGGATGTATGTTAAAACAGACCTCCAAGTTAATCTGCAAAAATTACAAATTATTCTAGAAAGTGGAACCTCTGCGAGCCAGTAATAAGATAAAACCACAGTCAGAAAAGATTAGAGTAATAATTTCCCAATCCAATGGAGAGTTGTAAATTTACAGATGAGGATGCAAATTCCACTAATTCTTTATATCATCTCTATAAAAATGATGGAGCTATGGATAGAAACTGGGGGAATTTAATAATATATGCACTTCTACTCATCGTTCAAATTTGGCCAAATTTGTCTGGAGGCTGAGCCAAACAGCTTCTAAAGAGGATGAGTTTTTACAGAGATATTTGTCACTGAAAGTATTTATAAATTCTTAGTTTGCATTAGCACAGCTTTAGAACAAAACAAAAAACAAAACTGCTGGGGGAAGGGGGGGGAGGGAAACAATGCCAAGAATGGGATAACAGGAAACTTAAATTTGAAACATTAAACAGCAAAATCCTTTCTTGTGTTTATAAAATTTGTCTTTAAGGTTTTTCGAAAAATTTAAATGACCACTTACATGCCTTCAACTGTGTCAAATCTAAAAAACAAAAAATACAGAGGCTTAGCTTAGCATGCTTAAATAAAACCACAAAACAAAAAAGCAGTAATTAAAAAAGTAAATTCATTATTAATAGATTCCTAAAGCTAATTATGTGCTCCCCTAAAAGCAAATTTTTCACAGTAAAAGGAAAGACTTCATTAAATCTTGTTAAATTTATTTCAAATTCAGTTAGTAAATCACTACACCATGTAAATAGTAATGCAGGTTTCATGTGCAGATACTTTCAGGAATTGTTTCCCTAGAAAACACATGCTTTTAAAGCGATTTTAAATATTTTAGTGACATGAACAACCACTTATTCTAAACATGTTTTTGGAAAGTAATGCCATATGGAGGCTTATCTGTGTTCAGTTAAAAATTGTCACCTAGTAAAGGGCATAGTATTACAAGGAATGTCCCTGTGCTACAAAAAGAGCACTTGAGGTCAATGGCCAGCAGAGGTCTCACCGGCAGCTGAGTCTCACCATAGAGAAATATGGACTTCATAACATTACAACTGTTTCACAGAATTCGCTAAGAATATAGGCAAAAGGAGTTAGAAGTAGTCTAAGGTAAGCAGTTAGAAGGACCTCTACACATTGTGTATTCTGTTACCTTTGTGACAGATTATTGAACAAGATCAGTAAAAGGCTCATCTTTACAGTGTACAATACGCCTTTCAATAAAATCAGGTTTTACTTTTAAACTCACTGAAGGCATCAGTTTCATACAGCAAACTGAAAAAAATTCTCAAAAATTAAATTTCAGAGCAAATGTCCATTTTCCCACATGTCACGTAGCACACACGTGAAATTACAATTACCACATAGACTGAAGAGACAAGTTAACCATGTATGTGAAAATTATCCTTGACATATTATTTTACTATTTAATAGCTGGGATTATGTTGAAGATTTGAAGAAATCAGACACCAAACCTAAAATACAAAGCAGCTTCATAATCCTGGAAAATACACGATTTGGATTGCTCTTAGGTCAGTGAGTTACTTGTGGAACAGTCAACTACAGTTTCACCAAATCAAAGGAGACAAATCAGAGAAAATTATCAACTGGACAGAAGAGACTGTTTCAATTCATTTGCACGGTGTTATTAAAACTTGTAGCACATACTTCTGCTTGTTTTCACATTTGCATTTTGTTTAAAGATGTTAACAGCTGCATGTAAAACAAAGATCTGCCAAGATGATAAAAATACAGCTGTTCTAAAGGTACAAAAGGTCAATCCAGTCTCCAACAGCTGCCAGCAGGAGATACTTTTGGAAAAGTGCTAGAACCACTGAGTGTACATCTCCTCTTACGCATACCCAGGCTACAAAAGAAGAGCAGTGTACGAGTTTCCAGAGCCAGAGGTGGCATATGTGTGTAACAACACGCTCCTAACACCACCAGATAGCATCAGAGCACGTCTCCATTCTCATACAGAGATACAGGATCTGCCTCCCGTGAAAGCATCAGATTACCAGAGAACAAGTCAAATATTGCTCCATTTTTGAGACCACAAACACTTCTTTCAAAAGGCAAGCAGGCAAGCATAAAACTCCTAAGGAGATGCACAGATGAACAGTTAATATCTGTTCTTCCCTCTTTCAACTAATCTCCAGTAAGACACATGGTTATTATGAAAATTCCTTCTATGGTGCTTCAACTATGCTGGAATCAAAAGTATGAAAATGCATTGAAGCCAAAAAAGCATGTGAAAGCTTAAAAAAATGCTGCAACTCAACATATGGATAAGGTACCAAGACAAGAACAGTATCAGACACTTAACAACCAGCATACGCATCCAAGAATTTTATTTATTTACTTGTTGCCCTATGTTTGGAGGAATGACCTCTAAGAAAAGGTTCAAAATACTTCTTCAAAGTTTGCAATAGATTTTGGCATCTTTCAGATGGCTGAATCAAACAAACTGTGATAACTTACTACTTTTCTTCAATAAAAGAAAACTCAAACAGCTAAAAGCACCAGTTTGTATTTATTCACTTCTGAGCTGCAGTACTGCAGTGTTCTAAGCAATGGATTTCTCATGGAAAAAAACTGTTCCTAAAGGTACATTTACCTAGAAATATTCAGGTGGGACAGCAGAGCGACCAAAGATGGCAGAAGACACAAAAATAAGCATGCTTGAGAGAGCAGAGTAATTCTAGTCCCTCTTAGGATCATTTCTAGCTAAAAAGGAAATCTCAGCAATGCTATCTGCAACTTACAGTGAAGAGGTGGAATGAGTAACACAAGAACAGCTTTGAAACCTTCTGGTAGAAGGTCTGTGATGTTTGCAATATGGGAATAGAAAAAAAAAAAATTAAAAATCACTGCATTATTATTTTTAAAAAGAATGCAGAATAGCAAATCCTTACTTGAATTAGGTAAGGGACTAAGCCTGTAAGTGCAGACTAACAGAAACCTAAGCAGGTACAAACCAAAAAACGGTAAAAGCATTATCACTAAAATGAAGGGGTTTTTTTAATCTAAGGAAAACACATTCAGATTTGGAAAGGGATAAAAAAATAGTATTAAGCACCAAAAAAAATCCCAAACAAAACAAAAACTTCATCTGATAGCCAAAACTGCACTAAAAAAGTTTCACTTTTCAGTACAGTAATAGCAAATAATAGTACAGTAAGAAGTATAGTACTAGCAGAGTCCTGGAGGAAATGCAGAATTTTCTATTCTGTGCTACTATTAACACACCATCACCTCAGCAAAGAGGAAGTTGGCTCAAGTTCTTGTGCTCAAGCCCATTTCCTTCTCCAATGTGCCCACCTGCACTGTTTTGTTCTCAAATGCACAAGCTACCTTACATGCCTCCCGCTCCAATTTTTCCACACTGACTACGCCACTTAGTAATTTTAGCTCTCAATACCCCTCCCCTCCCTACCAACAACACTGCAGTGCTATGAGGACAAGTGTAGGCTGCGAAATATTTCTAATGTACTCAGTATATGCATTCAGAAGCCTTGAGATGCGAGTCAGGGGTAACGTGATAGCAAGGAACATGACAGTGAGAAGTAACCACTGTGTTAGGGATACACTTATTTGAAGACTTCTTTTTTAAGACTTGACCTCACTACAAACCTTACCTAAATTGAAGTACACTTTTGAAAATTTGATATAACTGACATATAATAATATACCTTTTGTCAGTGCTGAGGAGGGAAGCCTCGTGTAGGCTCACACGAGATGAAACTAAATCACGTCCACTTACAATCATTCCCTCACAGGCACTTTCAAAGCTTTAAGGTAGTGTAGAATAGACTTTAGTGAACAAAGGCTTTACTGTCATACATATGGGAACAGCAGGTATTTCCATCTAATGTCAGGGATGTTTTTTCAGAAGGAACAGCTATAATTTGGGCTATCATTAGCTGAACAGAATACTACTAGGGTTTAGACAAAACAAAACAGCAACAAAACCCGAATCCCCTGCATTGCAACTCTCCTCTCACAAAAGATGAAGATGTTGCAATAATTTCCCTGCCATGATAAGCAGCCCTAGAAGTAGCCAGGGCAGCATTTCAAAGATGACAGTACGGCATCTGAATTTACAAAGTTTCTAAACAAACATTAACCCATTCTTCTCAAAAACATCCCTGACACTGCACATCGAGCATTCACACAAAAAGAGCCAATAATTCCAAAAGTAGTGTATACACCAAAAGAGAATTAGTGCACAACAACTTTGCAGTAAGTACCTGTGAAATAAAACTAATACTGAAATAGTAAATGTAAGGATTCTTTTCAGAACTGAATCTGACTAAAACCTAGTTATTTCAAATGTTCAGATAAACTAGTGTAAGTCTTAGTGAAATTTAAAAAACCCCACCAAACAACAGATCTTAAGTAAACCAGAAGTATACAGTGTTCAGGCCACAACACAGTGAATAGGCAACTGACTGGAAGATAAACACAAACAAAACCACTCTCCACCCCAAAAAATCCCACCACACATACACAAAATCAACCAAACAAAAAAAAACACAAAGCAAAAATATTAAAGTTCAATACAACCTTAAGAACTTACTTTGTTAGCTGTCCTTTATTTTTGTTGTTGTCAACACCGTTGTATGTAACAGCTGCCAGTTTTCTGCTTCTGTAATTCTCATAATGTACATTGTTGGTGACATCCTTCAGGTCCTGCATATGAGTTCTGTCAACAGGTGTAAATTATCAGCTTAGTGCAGAAACACAAAACGGTCCATGTTCATTTTGCAAATTGTCTTAATTAAATTATATCCCTCCATTAATGTCCCATTCCTCACAATTTTGTCATTCTTCCATTTAAATCAGAGCTATCAAGACAGCAAAGTCACAGAAATACCAGATTATTTTGCACTGAACTATCCTGAGTTTGCAATATTCCAAACATTAACTTACAGGACCAATCTTTGGAAAATTTGACTCCTGTGGAAAAACTTGCAAGTATTTGGAGAACAGATAAGAAAACTGCGTATTGCTATTGCAGTGGGTGTGACAAAGCATGTCAGGCAAGAAACAAGCCAAAACTTCCTAGTTTCTACCTTTTATGCCTGCAAAAGGTAAAGGTAAAGCTCAAGACTAAGATACAAACATTAGCTTCCTTTAATTTTCCATCATCAGCTTGGAGAAAAGCAAAGATTAACAAACAAATTAACAGCTGTTACAGCAGATGTCACCTACTGAACTGCTGTGGGTATAGGACTCAGCGCCTAACACAACAAAGTGCAGGCAGTCTTGCTTTAGACAACTGAAAGGTTTTTTAAAATGCCTACAACTAAGTATACATCAACACTAACAAACAACTCAGGTTCCTATGGTTTATCAGAGTTTTTAAGAACAAGTAATCAGAAAGTAAACAGCACAATTAAAAAAAATCCTCATCACCACCACCGCTTGCTAAATATGTGGTTAAACAAGATATCAAAAAGTGTAAAATACTGTTTACAATTAAAAATATGGGGATTAATATGAACTCACTAGCTCAAATCCTTTCTTTCTCCAATATTTGACCTTCTAATCTCAGACATACTAGAAAACTTAATGTTACCTGTGAGTTACTTACCTTATCAACATGTTCCTCAGAATTGTGAAGTCACAGTGTTCACCATTTTCAACTACCGAAAGAGGTAAATTTTTGTTGAGATGCCAATGAAAATACATGTCTTACATAGACATAAGGCTTTTAGGTGTCACCCATCTCCTATGTTCATTCCAACCACAGATTACTTCCACCCTCTCCTTATTCAAACAATATTTTTTCATTTTAATTTTAATGTGGATTTAGTTTATTAACTAAGCAAAGGAAGGCTGTATATTTAATTTGATGCACCTGCCTACAGACCAAAAGAGAGGGGTGGCAGTTGTAATCAGATGCCACCTATTCCAGTCACACCTATCATCCCATTACTGTAGAAGAGGCTGATGCTGAGTGGCATTTCTTTGCTAAGGTACTGAATTGACACTGAAGAAAAATGCACACCCCAAAACACTCTGGTGAACAGAGAAGGCAACACACAAAGCTCTTGGTGCACACAAAAGAAAGGCATGAGGAGGGTTCAGGTTCAATGTGCCCCTGAAGTAGAGATGGACATTTTCATGGAAGGAAGGAAGAAGGAAGAATTTCATCCAAGTAAGTTCAGTGAATCCTACAAAAAATGAAGCACATGAAGTCTCTTCATGTGTTCCTCTTGTATCTGCATTCCGCATTATTTTATTCTGTGGTTTTACACAAATTGGTAAGTTCCACTCAGTGCATGCAGTCATAATCCCCAAAAAGCATCATCTCTGAGTATTCTGCCCTTAGCTGACAGACTCAAAACCACTTAAAGATGTTCCTTTCAGTTAGGCTTGTTCACCCCTTCCAGAAGTTGTCCAATTACATGAGTGTGAACACATTTATGGAGTTTGTTTTAAAACACAGAAAAGCAGCACCATTTTGTACATATTCATACGCTAATGCGAGAGCCTTAAAACAAAGCTTGACCCTCTCTGGTGCAGCTGGTTTTTACTTTCTGCCAAACCTCATTTCCTGCCAGACACACACTTCAAAGTGCTACAGCATTTCTCTTTAAAGTACTGGTCCATACTCTGCTTGTTGGCTTGGTGGGTTTTTTGTCTATTTTACACTGCATCAACTTTATAGTCCATTGCCCTTGGAAGGCAGAAAGAGGAAAAAAAAAATCTCTTTATTCAATACATGCAGATTACAAGGAAAAAAACTCAAATGACCATGGAGAAACAGTTTAATAGCGACTGTTTCACTATACAGCATAGTGCAAGCTTTATTTTTCATGTGCCATTTGAAATAAGTGAATGGCATTAAAGCACAAGCAATAGTTGCAAGAAGAACATGCAGTTATCTTCAGTTTGTTGATGACACCAAGCTGAGAGGAGTGGCTGAC